AAAGCTGGAAACCCTGTATAGAGCGCGAATCAGCCGAAGGGTTGGCGCGGAAGGCTCCGCAAAGTGGCTGCTGGTGTCGAATCTCCGGCATGCATTGCTCAGGACTGTAAGAAGAGCCGGACGGACGGTCTCCAGTGACGTTTCCGGGAGCTCAGTCGTGAGGAGAGCTACATGTCAATGATCATCTCACCGCATACTGATGATGATGATTTATGTTTGATTTCCGACGACGTCTGCTCTCGGTCGACACCTCATCGCCTTCATTCCTTCGGAGGAGCTTTCGGAATGTTAGGTATGAATTAGGCCAGGGTCGACGTTTATCGGCGCATCGGTTGCCTTACACATCGAGGTTCCCGAGGTGACGCGACCAGGGAGAGTTTCCGCCACTAGGAGACCGAGGGGATTTTCGAATGGCGCGCTTCCTGAGATGCCTCAGGGCACGATCGCTCCGGAATGGGGACGGAACCTCTCCACGGTATCCACTCGTTGGGGTGGGGGAGACGTCATGGAGTATGGATGCTTCGCTCAATATCATTCGGAGATCACATGGCATGATCACACACGACGACAAGTCTTCACTCTTGACGAGTTCCGAGCTGCACCGCTGCTCTTAGTATCGTCCGGGTGGAAGAATTCTCGAGCGAAAGCAGTCTGTGCATCAGCTCGATACGAATGCTCCTGAGAGGATGACAGGATCTCAAAGGTGGCACTGAGCACCGGAATCGTCCTCGCCACGTCCGCGCGTCCACAGCGAGTACTGATAACATCAAGGGAGTTTCGTTGCATTCGCTGCCATTCAACGAATTCAAACTCATCTCGGATCATCCAGATCATGTCCCCGAATTATCCGAAGCCCGTATTTGGCGGGCTAGCACAACCCCGATCAAATCCTGAATGAAACCAAAGTTCAGAGGAAACCCGCTTCTCTCCATCCATATCCGTTCGAGGGACCATCGATCTTACTTCAAGATTGGGCCTGCTGCAGAACTCATCGGAGCATGAGCGAGAATCGACCAATCGAGCTCCAACTCGGAGGAAGGATCGGGAAGGATACCGACGTTCTCGTTGAGTAGATGCCGTCTATCTGCAAGAATTACAGAGGAACGCGAATCCAGGAATCGCATTCGTCAGCAGTTTCAGCCGAGCATGAGACGTCTCCGGTTCATTGCAAGGGACCTCACGGGACTGTTGTCGAGAATCGCGGCTCTCCAGGAAATTGGCGATTCCTCGAAAGCCTAATCGCTGCAGTCTCCGCCACGATGGAACAGAGGGATTTGCGAGAAGAGTGGGGAAACGGGAAAAGAGGTAGAGAGTGTTGAGCCATGGCTACAGCTGGTTGGCTGGAGTTCCACAAAACAAGTCCGTTGGGAGCGACATTACTCGAGAGGATCGACTCGCAAGAAGCTTATCTCAGTCCCGACCTTACGATCGAGAGCTTCCGATCCGTTTCAGAGCCCTGCATTCGACAGACGATCTCGGACTAGGAACTTGTGCTGCGAATGCGATCGCTCATCGGGGACGAAGGAACGTTGAATGCCGCTCAGGAAAGTGTGCGATCTGACCTCGCATCGGAGATAAAAGGGACTCGGGTATAGAAAGTATCTTCAACGCTACACCGAGCAGGGCATCTCTATCGCAGGACATGTGAATTTGTCCCCTGTCGAATATCTCGAGAAGCCTTCATTACGATCCCGCCGGTTTTGGAGGGCCCTTGGCCGTCACGGAACGTACCACACGCACTCTGAATGCTGGCAACCCTGAACCAGCGAGGCTCCGGTCACCAAGTCAGCGTGGTACACTTTGCTGTGAGTGTGGTGGCGTCGGTCGGTACGTCTCGCCTGTCTGTATTTGTGTTGTGGGTGAGTGAATTGAGCAATCTCCACCAAATTCGAGCTTCACGCTCATTCCTCGGAGTCGACGACGGCAATTAAACGTAGCCGTGTGAAGACGGGTCATTTCCCCCGACGGTCAGAGATCAAACTGTCATTGTCGTGTATTGGCACCAGTTACGACTTCGTTCGAAGACAGGTGGAAGCATCACAAGACAGAAGATTCGAAGATATGTCTCTGTGAGGATCAACAACCGAACAAGTTCCTCGATGCTCGGTCGGCCACTCCGCTAAGAAGCAGTGGATCCGGATACGGTGGCGATGGTTTCTCCGGACCTCGGTGAGTATTCCAATAGCTCCGAGAGAATCGGCCGAGCCCATGGTCCCGACTGAGGACGTCTCGAGCTCCAGCCCGAACTTTCCCTTCACATCAGTATGCATTTCCACTTTTGCTGAAGACAGCGCATTGATAGGGTAGCCCAGAGGATGCTCGGGATTTTTTTTGAATGTTCGTGTATCTGATAGAGAAAGGGGTTCTCCGAGTTGAGCGAATTCTGAGAACTCTCGAGCTGCAATTCGGGAGCTCTAGCTGGAACTGACCGAGTTCGCACATCAGCGTCCGCGGATTCAAGGACCGGCTGGATTTTCTGTACGCGCGTCCTGGAATCAGGAGGACTTCATTGCTCTCTTGAGTCTCGCAGAGTAGAAAGCTCGAAAAACCCGCGGAAACTACTGGGGAGATGCCCGGGAGGACCGTCCTAGGACCGGAGCATCAAGCCTGGCAATGAATCTCTCGGATCTGAATCCGCTCGAAGTCCGCGCTCCGTCGGAACACTTCAATAGCTTGTTGCTGTTTTGAAAAGTATCATGTCGCAGCGCGGGAGGAGTTCATCGCACTTTCAAGGTCGTAGCGAGACCGTCACGCAATGAGATCGAGCGAACGAGCGAGCGAGTGAGCGAGTGAGTGAAAGAACCACACCGACAGACAAATATAGCAGCGTGCCTTTCTCTACTAGTAGCAGTGGAAATAACTGTAGCCTTCTATTGGTTATCCGTGTCACCGGCGATGTCGCCGCGGCCGTCATCGCTGCTTAGAGACACGATGCCAACGTTGTCTGGTTGGGTTAATGGCCACTAGAGCCTTCCGGTTATTGGCCACGACGGTCTTGGGAAACGTCATCAGAATGTCTTTGCACTCGTTTCTCTCCGATGCTCAGGCGGCAATCCGGAACGATACGAAAATTGCAACGTGACGCTCGGATCGAGCCGAGCAAGATGACGGGACGGACCCGCGCAAGGCATGCCATAGCGGTAGAAGAAACTCTGCCGTGGCTCGTTCAGCTCGGGAAATGTGGGAGTATGCCCTTTTCTCCTCTCGTAGCTGATGAAAAGCGGCTCTGATACAGTTCCCTTGGCGATTCTCAGTGGCACTCGAAGCGGACGTCGTGAGAGCCGGAATAGAAATATGAACCCGATCTCGGAGTCGGAGAAATAATTTGTCCCGACTGAATAAGGTCAGGGAATCGAATGTGCGGACGCTAGAAAATTGGGTAGATTGCATCCACTTTCCTTTCCCCCATTCAGGAGATCGCAGCGCTCTTTGCTCCAAGTTCGAGTTTTGACCCATAAACCCAGTGGTGGTGGTGCCCGCGGTTAAACGCAGCGGGTCACTCCGCCGGCCACTGAAAAAGTGTTACGGGAATGAAAAAAACAACACTCCGACGATCCGGAGAACGAGTTTCCTCCTTTCTCTTACGAAGGCCTCCTCCAAGGCCTGCTAGAGCCAGATGCAGCCAACGGTGGTCGCGAGCGGCTTCTGCCAAGGGGCTAAACGAGGAAAGGGATCCAGAACTGAAGAAGGGACGGAGGGACGCACGTACGGGATGGATGAATGAATTCGCCGGAGCTGGTCGGCCGCCCGTCCGCCAACAAAGCAAGTGACTCGTAGCTGCTCGGTGAGCTAACCGACCGACTGAGTGCAGCGGCGGCCGGTGACAGCAGCCGCCGTCGTGGCGACACCGAAATTCCCCGACAGAAGACTTGTTTACGTTGCCTTTCCCCGCGTGTTGTGTGGAGCGGCCAACCGACCGACCGACCGACCAAGCAGCCAACCAACAGCGGAGCGAGCTAACCCGTCAACGAATCAACCACGAGTTGCAGACAGAAAACACTTCAGAGCTGCCGATTTCAGAAGTGCTGTGGGAAGCTACGAATGTGTCCGCGGAGGAGGCGCTCTCCGACGGCTCAAGTGTTCTCCAAGCGTGGAAATCCACCTGCAGAGGGATCTTAGGCGAAAACTTGCGCTCCTTGAAGTTCCGTCTCTTGTCCACGTTTTCAGAGAACCGTGTATCTCCCATTGACGCGAAGCGCCCTGTTGTTGGTGCTCGCCTGGAGAGTGCTTTACTGAGATCGGCTGAAGCTCCTGACGGTAAGGCCGTACAGTTCACAAGTGCTTGTCGGCTCGGCCGGCTGGGAAGGCGGCGGGCAGGCGAGCGAGCGAGCAGACAGACAGGCTGGATGTCTCTCTCCGACTGGCGAAAGGAGGTCATTCGCCCCGCTCTGCTCTCGCTGACCCAGTAACACAGAGTTCCCTTTCACAAAATCGGCCGAGTTACCACGACAGAGCAAGCGAACGTCCGACCGACCGACCGACGGACGGACGGACCAACTAGCCAGGCAAGCAGCGGAGCGAGCGAGCAATCGAAATTCCGCAGTGCACGGACTGGAGAACGGAATCATGCGGTCTCTGACACCCCCCGCGTCCGAGCGGGTCAGAAGTTGGGATTTGTGACTGAGCAGCAAGAGTGAACCGCTGCTCCAGACTCTCGTCAAACGACGGAGTGGAAATTGTGCGAGCGAGAACGACGTGATGATTTCCTCCGAGTCAAGCCAAGGGGCAGGCCGCGCTTCGTTGACACAGTGGTGCATGCCCGTGATGGTGATCCCATGCTCTGTGCCCGAAATCTATCTCATGTTCAGTGCTTCGTCTCTTGTGATGCTGTGAGACACTGGGTGAAACTTGTAGCGCCGCTTAGCACCTGATATCCGATCGGTGTTCTCGGAGACAATCACCGTTCGGAGGATCGAGCGATGAATGAGACAAGGCGCTCACAAATTAAACGGCGTTCAGGCTCGAATGTGAAATAGGCTACGATCAACTAGCGAGCTGCCATGTACAAGAGAGCCGACAAACCGAGAGTCCCCGTGTCGACACTTCTACAGAGTGTGGGGGTCTCGTCAACGGCATCGTCGCCCCCGACTTCGCCTGAAACCTCCCGGACCAGCTGGACTTCATCGGGTATATCGTCCTCCAAGATGAAAATTGCGGCATCGGCAATCAGCCTGTACTCTCGAATGATTTCCATCTGAACCCAATCTGCGATACTTTCTAGGAAATTGAACAATCCATGGACTCGGAATCCGAGCTCGTGGAATTTGAGGTTTTTCCACCGGAGCTAATTGTTTCGTTGTTACCAGTTTCAGGTCAGGGTATCGCAGTTGGACTCCAGCATTTACAGGGTGTGCGGCAGACAACACCCGGTACTCTCGGCGCCTCATCTTCGCCACCTCAGAGTGGAAGGAGTCAGTTCTTCGGTCAGCCGACGACCCCAACAGCGAGTGGAGGCGGTATGGCGCTATCTCCCGGTTCTGGCCCAACTCCACCACCGAATCCTCCGACTCCCACTGGATCATACCCCCGAACCACCCATTATCCAATTCCAAACACCTGTGTTCCATCTGCGGAGATAAGGCGTCGGGGAAACACTATGGTGTCTTCAGGTGAGAGATTCAACTTTCCGCTCTTATTGACTCGATACATGGACGTGCGCCGAAAGCTACGCGAGCTCTATTTACGTACAAATCTTCCAAGGCATCTTGCTCTGTGGGTGTCTAAGTCGCCCTAGATTCGAAGCGCCGGAAGCCCATAAGGACGAGATCTGTTGCAATTCATGCACCGCAATCAACGATTCAGCCGCTGGAGATTAGATAAGGAATTTCATCTTGTTCCGAATGAAGGGGAGCGCTTCTCGATACGCCCCGGCGAATTTCCATCCTTTGAGATCTTGATCGAGTTTTCGCTAATCGGGGGTCATGAGGAAGCGATCCATGTTCTGATAGACGAGGCTACTCTGTTCATGCGACGGAGTTACGCATGGAATCTCTTTTCCGAGAAACGGAGGCATTGTTCGAAAAACTCCGATGATAACCGGTCCCTAATAAATTCGGCCTTGGTTTGTCGGCGCGATTGGCGGAGGAAATCGGTAACATGTGTTTCTCGATAGAGTTTAAATGCACGAAAGCGTCACATGATTTCAAGCCGTGCGATCCTTATCGTCTTACTGTACCGCTCGATGTGTCGAGGAACTTCCCGAGGAAACGATGGAGTTCTAGAGATGGGTCTGTGAGACATGCCGATGAGACTCGTACTAGGCAGGCCCACCCGTGGAAAAATTTGTCTCGCAAATCGGGGAGATCCTAGGATTTTAAGTAGGGTGCAACGTGTGATTTGTAACCGGAATCCATGATGATGAACGTGAACTTGTCATTCCAGCTGTGAAGGCTGTAAGGGCTTTTTCAAACGCACCGTTCGCAAGGACTTGACGTACGCCTGTCGAGAAGAGCGGAGATGTCTCATCGACAAACGACAAAGAAACCGATGCCAGTATTGCCGCTACCAAAAATGCCTTCAGTGTGGTGAGTGAACTCGAATGCGTATAATCGTCTACATCGTGCCCGGCTTATGAACCCATGGTCGGAAGTCCCTGCTTTGGGAGCCCATGAGATCGTCAGCTGATGGCATGGACGGAAATTCTATCCCCATGGGACCTATAGTTTTTATCGGAGCTGTGAATGACATCAACAGGCATGAAACGAGAAGCCGTCCAAGAAGAGAGACAACGGAAAGATCGTTCTGAATCTAACAACAATAATGAAGTCATGGTCGACGCCCATCAAATGAATGGCAGCAGTTCCGCCGTCCAACCCAAGACACCTCAATCGCACGAAGCCTTGTATCAACAGCAAGCCGCTGCACTCGACCTCATGCCGATCGAGAAAATCACCGAAGCCGAGATCCGAGTCGACCAGCAGCGCAACGAAGTCGAACTACACGTTAGTAAACCTTCCCTGTTCGAGTCTCGCATTGAATCCCTGGATTTGAGTGAATGTCACTCGAATCTGCGCTCTTCACCCGCTCGGTCAGCGAACACTCGCCGCTGGACGTCCGCCGTTCCTCCAGCAACGATCTCGCGTAACAGATTGCACGAAGCAGAAGACGAGACTGTTCTCTTGGGCTTCTCCCCTCCCCTCGAAAGAATCCCTTCAAGAGCGAAATTCATTCTCTGGGTGCTCTCATCTCTCTCGATCGATGGGATGAGGCGCGGAAACTGAATTTAACCGAATGTTTTCCTCGAACAGCTACTGACCAGTCAGGATCCCGTGACTTCGATGAACGTCGCCGCCGATCGTCAAATACATCAACTGGTCGCTTGGGCTCGGATGATTCCGCATTTCTTGACACTTCCCGTGGAAGATCAAGTGGCGTTGATCAAACAGGGTTGGAACGAGCTCTTGATCGCCGGTTTCTCACATCGATCGATAAATGTCAAAGATGGCATCGTACTTGCCACCGGTCTCGTCGTCCAAAGAGACAGTGCACATCAAGCGGGCGTGGGAGCCATCTTCGATCGGTACGCGGCCATCAATCGTTTCTTTCATACCGACGATTATCTATTCATACATTCCGTCGTTCTTCCATCTTCTGGGTTTTGATCTAACAGGTCCGTCCCTATTCCAGCGTTCTCGCCGAATTGGTCACCAAGATGAGAGACATCAAGATGGACAAAACAGAGTTGGGGTGCCTCCGAGCCATCGTGCTCTACAATCCCGAAGCCAGAGGCCTTCGGAGCGTCGCAGAAGTTGAACAATTCCGGGAGGGAGTGTATATTGCTCTCGAGGAATACACCCGAATGAGCTACCCTGACCAGAACAGCCGTTTTCCTAAACTTCTCCTCCGACTCCCGGCGCTGAGGTCGATTGGACTCAAATGCGTGGAAAACTTGTTTTTCTTGAAGTTAAGCGCCGATGCCACTATCGACCAGTTCTTGCTGCAGGTTCTCGAGAGTCCGGACGTCTGAATCGTGGCTTGAATGCCGCACGGGTATGGAAAGTCGATGATCCCCCGTTGTCCGTGTCCGCCTTTCCTTTAGGACCGCGCACCTGCCTTGCGGGCGCTGTCCGGAACTCAGTCAGAACCGAATCGGAATCGAAGTCGAGACTGCGTGAAGTTGTTGATTTGAGATTATACTTTATGTACAATGCTTGGTATTCGCGGTCTATGAAGTGCCGCAGCCACCGAAGCCGCATGTGATGATAATACCTCAACCGGAGTACAACGCTACTCTTTATCGGGCAGGGAAATGCATTGATAGATGTTTTTTTTCGAGAACGAGTCATATCCTTCTCACAATTGTGGACTCGATCCGATAGGTTGATTTGTCACAAGAACGAAGGCGATATCCCTGTACCATTGCCTTCTGCTTGATCCGTGTGAATGCTCCTCAGGGTGTGGCGATTGTAAAATTCCTCTATGATATCCGACCCTACTCGATGGGCGTGAGAAGCTAACTTCAGATGTTTGTAATCTTTGTTTCCTCTGGAGTATGCTCTCTAGCTTCGGAGTTCATGAGAGTCTTCGCTCTTCCCGTCGAGTCCTCGACTTGACCAGTGTTCGTCAGAGAGGACGACGACGCCAGATCAGGACACTCATCACTGTAAATCTAATCCGAAATCGGCATCTCTGGTCCTTTCGACTTTCGGGACAGCATTCGCAACGCTCGTGGAGGGTCCCGCTCGAAGGCGAAGAGCTTTCTGTACATGAAACGCTGATTTCGGCCGTCATCGTACTGACTTCGATGCAAGTCGTTCGAATCGGCTTTTGAAACTATAAGATGTTAAATTTTCTGATCAGCTGGACACACCGCTTGAATTTTTGAGACTGAGTTTCTCGTGAAACTCATTGTTGCTATTACGGAGATCGTCTTCTATTGTGGCGTTCCTCATCTATGGGGATAATTCATCGAATGTTGTCTGTTCAATGAAATCGCGGGAATTGACGGATCTTGTACTTGCCGCCTCTTCGGAAATTGTGAAATCAAATCTTTGTTGGGCGACTAGCGTTCCGACCCCGACGCCTATGTCGTTCCTGATGGCTTTGTGGACGACGATTTAATCAAATATCTCGGTTGTTCAAGGCCTCTTATCGAATCACTTGACTAGAAATGAGTAGTAGTTGTCTAACTCGACCTAGACGAGTTGAAGGTTGTCTTTACGTAATGTTAAATCTCAGAGTGACGTTGACGGGGTCGTCGCTGTTGTCGGTTCCCGTAGACGAATAGGAGACGATAGCGACTTACAAAAACTAATTCTTCTCGAGCAGTATCAAAGAGCGAAAACATACTAATGTAGAGGGACGTTCTTCAATTTTCCGAAAACACGAGAACGGCCTTCCCCAATCCTCATTTTTCTGTACATTATAAAGTTGGGATGAACATGACGAGAGGAACGGGGAGCACACCGCATTCAGAGGTGGAGATCGGGGAAAATCTGCGACTTAAACCCTCTAGATAAGCTACATGTTCTGCGCTGGATTTCCCTCGAAATCGCGAGGAGGGAAGATCTAAGAGTTAAACTTGAGAGTGGTCAACGAAAAAAGGTAGCTGTGGGTGGCGATCAATGGAGACCGTGAACTCGCCATTAATCGACACCAGACGCCAGATCGATTGGTTGTACATGGAATGTTTAAAGATGGGCTCTTAAAAAAGCCGAACTGTGCTTGGATGATAACCAACCCAGATGGACAGGATATAACACGCAAACTCGGGAAAGCGAGGAGCGCGATTTGTTTGTGGAGATAGTCGGAGATCAAATAGAGATCGGAAAACCAAAATAAACGGATAATAATGAATGTCTATTATCTCAATACGTCCTCACTGACTTATCTAGCTTGCGAGGTATCAGCAGCGGCGAATATTTTTCCGCAAATGGCTTATTGGAGCGATGTCGGGGCTCGGGATACTCAATGTGCGATTCGATGAATCAGGAAAATATCCGAGTAAGGCAGCGTGATTTCCGATGGTTTCTGGGGGTATAAGTATCTGAGGGGTGCTACGGGTCGAAATGAGCATCCTTATGGATGTTCGCGACGGACATTCAACGCACATCAGGGATATTCATCATCCCGAGCCTCCTTGAGCTTCTCGAGCCATGAGCCACAAAGAACTCATCGGGAAAATCGAGGATGGAACTATGAGCTGTAACCATTGGGAGCAATGCATTTCGTTTCCCCACAGACTTTCATGTCCGAGTCTTCTCGCCAATGAAATGAGAAATTGAATCAGCTGGGCCCGCTGGGTGGGCTAGGTGCCTTGAAATTCCTCCTCTGCGCGTGGCAGCGTCTGTAGCCCAGCTGCAGCAGCGATAACGATTGCGAAGCTGAGCAGTTTAGAAGGGAACCGTGAGACAGAGAGCTGGTTTCCGGGTAGCCGAGCCGTCCGAACGACGTCCACCGATGTTCGTACGTACGAAGGGCCGAACAAACCAGGCTGGCAGTAAGCTAGCCAGGCAGCCAGTAGACGGAGCCAAAGCCTTCTCGTTGGCTAGCTTTTCCTTCAGAGTGTAATATATGGAATTGCTCCAATATACATATTACGAAAGGCGCGCGGGGGCGGACAACTCTCCAACATGGCCATTCCCGGCCTCCTTTGGAGGAGTGCGGCAAGTGCCTGCACTGAGGACTTGAGCTCGGTTGGCATCGACCGCGGGATTCGCCTTCCAGAACTCCGATCGCAGTGGGAGAAGATCTGACGAGAGCGGAGATTCCTTATTCTGAGCTAAGAGCGAGAATTTGATGCCTGAATTCCATGAAGGTATAGTCATTCGAGATCTGTGATCATTCCGGCTCGCATTGGAGGAACTCGGTCCTTCTCTCGTCGGATGGAGGGGAGCATTGTAGTCGCGACGATACACTTGAGAATGGATCGATTCTCCGAATCTGGATGGGTTGCAGCCTTCTCAATTTCTGAGACTTCCAGGCTCATAAGTCAGACCATGGCGTTGGGGAGTCTCACGGTCGGGGATTTTTCCAGGATATACTCGGATGAGAATGATCCGGCTGTGTCGCCGGAAACCTGTGTCGCTATAAATATTTCGATCCGCGACTGGCTCGATATCGAAGCCCTCACACATCCAGAGGCTCCTTCGGACTGCCCACCGACGGCGCGGAATCAAGAGATTCCGCGCGCGAGCCACCCTCTCCGAAAGAATCGACGATAAGAAAAATGTTTGGGGCGCGAGTCGACTGAAGGGACTTGGAGACGGCGAGGGGATAAGGGACCAGCGGGGCTCATCGGGGATCGAGGGGGGCACTCAAAATGTAATTCACCTAAGTGGCTCCCTCTCCTCCGAGCGACCGACCGCCCAAGCAGCCGCCCGCTCATCCGGCGGCATACAGACAGATGCACCGACGCACCGGGGGTCCGACGGCATAGAAGCCAGCGACGAAGGGGACGCAGAGATGGAAGGGCCAGCCGCCCGTCAGAGCGAGAGATCTTCTCCGAAAAGCACAGCCACCACCGAGAATTACTCTGGATCTCGCAGCTCTACCTCCGTACCTCTTACCAAATTTTCCCAAGAGTTCTGACGTTTCCAGAACGTCAATGGTCGTCACGTCAACTACGTCGGTCGGTTTGCAGATCCTATCCGGAGTGGAATCCGCCGACAGAATCGTGAGCAACAAGCCGACCAACGGATGGGCATTTCTACGATTCGGTTCGGGAACAAAGAATTAGGACGCCTGAATTGTCATGACTCCGGAGCAGTACTCCGAGCTCTCTCCGACCCCTGTCGAGTGTTTCTGAAGTCTGATCCGCGCTGAATCGCACAGATCCCATATCGTTGAGCAGGTTTCCGGGGCTCAAATTCAAGATCGACTCTCATCCTATCCGCGTATTCGACGCATGAGCCGACCATGGATGAATTCTCATTCTAAGGAGAATGATGAAATGACCACGCACGATGGAAGGATTTCATTCTAGCCTCGATCGAAGGCTTCTCGTGTCGAAGGTCACCTTCGCGTCGTCGGAGGACGAGACTACCTATTCATGATCGAAGATTATTCCACAATCATCTGGAACCCGCGGAGTCACGGGACGTTAGACCTCGATCAGTTTCCTCCAGTAGAATGAGAGAATGAATCATTGCAGGTTCACGATCGTTCGAGCTCTACTAGATTCCAACGGTCAATCTGAAGGATGATGAGCTCGTCAAATTGCAGTCACAAATATCTAGCAGGTCCCCGTTTCCCGATTCCTCTATCGAATCGGACGCAGTCTCGGAGCACCCATAGGGTCACCGAATTTCCACGATGATCGAGCTCATTGACGAATTCCGCGTCCGTCCTCTCCAATCCGAGCATGATGCGCGTGCTACGACTCGTTATCGGCGCGCTCTGGTGAATAATTTTTGTAGGTACCTAACTGTTCCATTGACGAAAATAGTATTTTCTTCGAGGGAATTCCACCCCGAGCTCAAGCGCGAACGCATCTTGATACGCGAATGCGTTACTGCGTCGAACGGCCATTCCCCCACCACAGTTTCGACAGAACCAGACTCAATATTGAATCCGGTGTAGCCGTGTTTTTTTTTGAGGTCGTGAGCGGGAGCAAGCCAAGATAAGGGGTGAGCAGATGAGCCGGTTGAGGAAGGCCGTAAGATGTGGATGGATAGGAGTATGAGTTCAGTACCCGAACGGGGAAAGGACCTGAGCCCTCGGTTATGAGGAGAGTATATCAACTCTGCATCGGAAGAGCCAGCTCATTCTCTGCCAAGGTGACTCGCTCACTCATCCCCGATCATCATGGGCTTCAGATGAGAAAGAAGTGACTGCATACTCTCTTCTCGGAGATCGTGATGGTCGACTCAGAGGAGCAGTCCCTAAATTTCGAGCACCTCCGAGGAGGCACACAATGCTGGAATCAGCCAAGGCTGGTGATGGAAAGGAAGGGAGACTTGATGTCACTCATATACATCAGAGGATCTGTGTCTGTTTTTGGCGATAGCTTGCTTTGTAGTTGAGTGTTGCCCAATGATAGCGCCCAGGTAAACACTGCGGGCCGATATTAGCACCACATGGCCCTACCTCAGCCCCGTGTTCTCTGTTTTCCCCCGCATCCCACTCTTTTGGTCTTCGTCTCTCACGGCTTCACCAGCGCTCCTTCGAGGATGT